GCCTCATGGCTGAGGTACTGGCTGTAGCCAGCAAGCGAGCTACAACAGACAACACTCAAGTCCTCTCTCGGTAGCCGGCCCTCCTGCCTCAAATAGTCAGAGTTTGCCCTGGCAGGACGGCCCAGAAAGCCGGCATTTTTAAACGGCGCAGCTTTTTTCCTGTTATGGCTGAAAACTGAAAAGCATGTGTTCAGCTTTTCGTCAACACCGTTTAAGTGTTTCGTGGCAGGACCTCTTAATGAGCTGCAGGCTTTGCAGCTAAAGCTGAGTCAGGAAGCCTCTCTTAGATGAGGCGCTTGCTTGCCTCTAGCAAGCAGAGTAAAACCGAGAAATTGCTGCTACCAAGAAACCAGGCACAATGCTTTCATTTTGTTCTAGAATTACTTCCCAAGCTGTCTCAGGCTTTATGTGGAAGCAGTTGTCCACGTGGGCGCCATATGAAGTAATAAGAGTGGCGGGGCTGCGTTCCCAGCACCCCGGCCGCCTGCTCGGCTAGCTTAAATGAATACAGTTTGTGTGTTGTTATTTCGGGGCATAAGCTAGCCGAGCAGGCGGCCGGGGTGCTGGGAACGCAGCCCCGCTGCCCCTATTACCACAGATGACTATGCATGAGCCAAGAATTAGTGCCTCATGTGATACTGCGTCTTCAGGCAATATGTTCTTGGACATCTCCGCTTCCATACCTCTGAGGACTAAATATCTGCTTTTCTTTTCTTTTTTTTTTAATATTTATTTATTTATTTATGCAATATTCTTTCTGTGTGTATGCCTGAAGGCCAGAAGAGGGCACCATTACAGATGGTTGTGAGCCACCATGTGGTTGCTGGGAATTGAACTCAGGACCTTTGGAAGAGCAGGCAATGCTCTTAACCGCTGAGCCATCTCTCCAGCCCCTAAATATCTGCTTTTCAAAAGCCACCTGCTCCATGGTAAACTGTTACAGGAATGTGAGCAGCCAGATACATACCCCATTCTTTCTGTCTTGTCTTTCTTGTCCTATCACATTAGCTATGATAACCACTGTGATTTTGTTGTTGTTGTTTTGGTTTTATGAGACACGATTTCTCTGTGTGGCCCTGACCATCCTAGAACCAGCTCTGTAGACCAGACTGGCCTCGAACTCACAGAGATCTGCCTGTCTCTGCCTCCCAAGCATTGGAATTAAAGGTGTGTGCCACCACCACCTGGCTCACTGTGACTTTTAATAGGAATATTGGCTATGTACCTCAGCTGTTCCATGTGTGATCTTAGCTATGAATTTAGCTGTGCTTTTTCTAGATCTTATTCTTCAAGTTGAAGAAGTTCCTTCCTATTCTGAGTCCACTCAGTGTTGTTTCATTTTGTCAGAAACCTTAAATGTATTGGTACGAGCACATGATATTTCTTTACATTTGCTAATATGATGGATTGATTTTCAAATCCCACTTGGCTGTGATAAATACCTTACTGTATTTGTAATGTTTAATTTGGGATTATTGTAGCATTGTTTACAAAGAAATACCAGCTAACCTACAGGTATGTTTGTGTAGCATCTTTATTTGGTTTGAGTACTATGGAAATAATGGCCCTGTAGACAAGTTAGGAAGGATTTGCTCTGTCCCTGTTTTCTGGATGATATTACTGAGAAATACTAATTTCTTCCTTAACGATTTCATAGAATTCAGCAGTGAATCCATATAGGTCAAATGATCTCTATGCAGGAGATATCATTATTTAATTTCTTATTTATTTCTCTATTTTTATGTGTATGGGTGTTGTGCCTTTATGTATGTATATGCACCACTTGTGCACCTGTTGTTCATGGAGGCTAGAAGAGGGCATTGCATGCCCCGAAACTAAAGTTACAGACACTTGTGAGCTGCCACTCGGGTGCTCAACCTGGATCCTCTGTAAGAGTAGCAAATTTGACCAAACTTCATACATTCTTTTAATCCCAGCACTCAGGAGACAGCAGTAGGTGGGTCTTTGCAAGTTTAAGACCCCTGTGAGTTCGAGGCCAGCCTGATCTACACAGTGAGTTATCAGGACAGCCCGGGCTGCATAGTAAGACCCTGTCTTAAAAAAAAAGAGGGGGGGGGGAGCAAAAAGAAAAAAACGAGAGAAAGTGAGGTCTTGAGAACTGCTAAGCCTATACAGAAACCTGGACCTAGAGCGCCACCTTGTGTCACAACAGCAGAAGTGACTGCAGGCAAAACAAAACCAAACTCTGGAAAAGCTAGATATTTATACACCTTTCTTTATTAACTTTTTTGAGACAGAGTCTCACTACGTAGAGTTTGCTGTCTTGGAACTTCGTAGACCAGGCTGGCCTCAAATCACACAAATCCATCTGCGTCACCCTCCCGAGTGCCGGGATTAAAGGCGTGTGCCACCATCCCCTACTAAATTTCACCATTTCCCTCCTGCTCCTCCAAAATTCTGCTAGTCTCAGCAATGAAAAAGTTGGCTTCAAAGTGGTCTACCGATCCATATATCATCATACTGAGAACTGGGAATTAGACAGATTTCCCGATAGGCAGACAGGTAGGGAGAGGAGCCATGACTAGGTAATGAAGGTGGCATACTTCCAAAATGGCTGACTTCTTCCCTACCTCCCATTCCCACCTCCCACCCCTGGTGAGAAATTAAAAGCAGAGTGGTTCAAACAAAAGCCTAAAGAATTTTTTTTTCCTCTTTCACCAGTTGGCCCTTCTGCTAATGGACCGGTTTGGACTGGTTCTTTGCTGGTTGTTTTGTTGTTTTCTGTTCCATTGTGGGGGTTCTTTACATGTTTTGGAGTTTAATTCAGGTGTATGACTTGCAGATAATGGTCTCACATTCTGCGTGTTGCCTTTTGATTTCTTTTTTTATTTTCTCCCTGTCTGGGTTTTATGTTTTGGGGTTTTTTTTTTTGGTGGGAGTTGGGAGAGGTGCTAGGGTTTTCTGTTATTGTTTTGTTTTGGGTGGGTATTTTTGTTGGGGGGTTCATATTAAAAGAAAACATTGCCAAAAGCAGTATAAAGGAGCTTATTGCATATTATCTTTTTTTAAAAAATGAGTTTTCTAGCTTCTGAGTAAATATTTAGCTTTTAATTCATCTGAGTTAATATAAGAAAGCTTGGACCAACTTCACGCTTACCTTTAGATATCCGGTTTCCCAACACCATTCAGGAAACTCCTGCCTTCTGCCTTCCCAGTGTGCACTTTTGCTAGCCTTCTTGAAAATTACTTGATCGTGTGTGGGTTTATTTTTAGGTTCCCTGTTCTGTTCTACTGGTCTATGTCTGAGGGGGTTGTTTTTGTGTGTGTGTGTGTGTGTGTGTGTGTGTGTGTGTGTGTGTGTGTGTGTGTTGGCACCCATGGAGTCCAGAAAGAGGTGTCAGATCCCCTGGAGTAAGAATTACAACTGGGGGGCTGGAGAGATGGCTCAGAGGTTAAGAGCATTGCCTGCTCTTCCTAAGGTCCTGAGTTCAATTCCCAGCAACCACATGGTGGCTCACAACCATCTGTAATGAGATCTGGTGCCCTCTTCTGGCCTGCTGGCATGCACACAGACAGAATATTGTATACATAATAAATAAATATTTAAAAAAAAAAGAATTACAACTGGTTATAAATCTCCCAGCATGGATGCTAGAAACTGAATCCCAGTCCTCTGCAAGAGCAGCCATTATGTCTGTCTTTTACACTAGTGTCCCACTGTTTTGATTATCCTTTCAATTAAGAGTTTCACATCAGGACACGTGATGGCTTTAACCTTTGCTCTTTCTCGAGATTCTTTTGTCTCTGAAGGTCTTTGGTGGTCCCATACAAGTCTGAGGATTTTCTTTCTCATTTGTGTATTGCCCTGAAGCAGTATGGACAGTTCAACAATAGAATGCATCATTTCATGATCAAAATACAGGTCTTTCTACTGAATTTTCTTTTCAATTTTTTTTTTTACAAACGACTCCTTCCTCCCTTTTCTTATTTATGTATTTTGACGCAGGATCTCACTTGTGGCACCTACTCCTAACTGTGCAGAACTCACAGAGTGCACCTCCCAAATGCTGGGGAGCATCTGGGTTTCCTTCTTTTATGTTAATCAAAAACCCTTTCCAATAAGAATCAAAAATGCCTGGTAATCTTCCAGCGTTTTCAAAAGCTTTAGAGACTTTCTAACACCCTCCAATATGCATGCATTTTGAATGGATTAGAATGGAGAGACTCTGCTATGTCCACGGTTCCTGCATTGTGTCATCTCTCCATTACACTTTACCATCTGCTAGGAAAACCTGGGCTGAACCAGCTTAGTTTGGAATGTGATGTGTTTACTGAAAAAGTAGTCCCGAGAAAGGTTCTCGAACATCTTTATGAGGCCCACAGCTGCTGCTGCTCCGTGTTAGCACTGTTGATGGGTTTCCATAGCTGTCCAGTGCATGGCCACGTACCACACAGCAATTCATATGCATACTTCATTTGGAAAAGCATAAATTAGGGGCTGGAGAGATGGCTCAAAGGGTAAGAGCACTGGTTGCTCTTCCAGAGATCCCGAGTTCAATTCCCGGCAACCACATGGTGGCTCACAACCATCTGTAATGAGACCTGGTGCCTTCCTTGCCAGCAGTACATTGTATGCTTAATAAATAAATATTTTTTTTAAAAAGGCATAAGTTAAAATTTGATGGATGGATGAGTGGGTGGAGAGATCTTGTTTGTTTGTTTGTTTGTTTTGGGGGGGGTTTGTTGTTGTTTTTTGAGACATTGTTTCTCTGTAGCTTTGGAGCCTGTCCTGGAACTCCCTTTGTAGACCAGGCTGGCCTCAAACTCACAGAGAGATTTTTTTTTTTTTATAGCTATGCAGTAACCACTCAAAGTGTTACTTCACTTTTGGCAGTTCCTATATATGTTGCACTTTTTTCTGATTTGTAATAAAAAAAACAAAAAATGAGTAATGCCTTACAAGAAGACAAAAAACACAGATACATGTAGCTTATAATGTTTAAGTTATCTTCTCATGGAATCTTAATCCTTTTTCTTAGACCAGAAGATCAATTCAGAAGTTACTAGAATGGGAAAATAACAGATTATACCACAAGGTAAGAAATTTAAGGCAAGTAGGTACCCTATTTATAGTTTTGAATTATCAAATTGAAAAAGTAAGTACTAAGTGAATTAATCCAGCATACAAAGGAATGGATTAGCAAACTTAATCCTTTTACCCCGTTACTAGCATATCTTCTGGGTAAGGTATTTGAGGTGCTGTTTTATGGCATGCAGCCTAGATTTTACTCTTATTCAAATGCAGTACATTGCAATTAACCAAAGATGATAGAAAAATTCTTAACCAAACTCTACCTTTTTAGCTTGCTTTGCACTGGAAGTTGACTAAAAGGAAATGTGAAACTAGCAATATGATGGAATATGTAAGTATGAAGCTGTTTTAATTATTCTTGTGATTTCACCCCAAATGCTATGTATTGCTTACTGTGTTTCCCATCTGTTGTTCAGGCCCTTTAGCTTCTCAGCCTGAACTTCTGTCTGTTGGGGCATAGAGGCCACCATTCATTTTCTTTAGATTTGTGGCCAACCTAAAGTATCTTGAAAGCCTACAGATCATGTACATCTTAGAAAAGTCTCAGCTCAAAATGTTGTACACCCTAACCTACAGCACTGAGAACAGCTGCTGCCTAGCAAAATACACCACGGTGCAAGTGTGTCAAAAAAAAAAAAAAGAATAAAAAAACTTACCTAAGGAATTAACTTTCAATTCTGGAACCATATCCCTGGCTTTTCTTTTCTTTTTTTTTTTCTCTCTTTTTTTTTCCCATAAAGTCATCTCGTACCTGGCTTTTCTTTCTTTTATTATTTTTTTTTTTTTTGGTTTTTGTTTGTTTTGTTTTGTTTTTCCTGTTTGGTTGTTTGGTTTAGTTTTTCGAGACAAGGTTTCTGTGTGTAACAGCCCTGGCTGTCCTGGAATTCACACTCTGTAGACCAGGCTGTCCTCAGACTCACAAGAGATCCACCTGCCTGTGCCTTCAGGTGCCACCACCACCTGGCTATCTGGTTCATCTCTAATATGGCTGAAATTTAACTTGGAGTGAATAAACTATTGAATAAATAAAATCTATTAAAATAGATTTAAATATTGGCTAAGCATTTTTACTGAAAATATGCGGTCTTGCTGGGTGCAGTGGCACACACCTCTCATCCCAGCACTTGGGTGTCAGGGGCAAGTGGATCTCGAAGTTTCAGGCCAGCCAGGGTAACATAATGAGACCCTATCTCAAAACAATTTCAAAAAGAAAAGAAAACAGGCAGCTTTAATCATAAAGCATAAGAGCACTTCGAAACAACATGATCTAGTCCACCATCATGGATCTTCCAAGCTCCCAATGTTTATCATTAAACATGCCAGGTCTGAGACTATAGTGCAGTTGGTAAAGTACTTGTCCAGCATCTAGAGCCCTGAGTTTGATCCTTAGGACTGTCTTCATCATGATGATGATAATAGCTTAATAAGAGAAGTTCCTCCTGCCTTTAATTCCAGCACTTGGAAGCAGAAGCAGGTAGGTGTCTGTGAGTTTGGGGCCGGCTTGATCTATATAGAGAGTTCCAGGCTGGCCAGGGCCACAAATTGAGGCTCTTGTCTCACAAAAACAGAAATCTTGGAAGCCCTTCTGCAATTCGCTTGTTTTATAGTCAATCATTTGGACAACTCCTATTTTGCAAACAACTTTCAAAAAATAATAATCCTCAACTAATATTAGCTGTTTTAATTGAAAAATAAAATAAAAACTGGTATTATTGGGGCTGGAGAGATAGCTCAGTGGTTAAGAGCATTGCCTGCTCTTCCGAAGGTCCTGAGTTCAATTCCCAGCAACCACATGGTGGCTCACAACCATCTGTAATGAGGTCTGGTGCCCTCTTCCGGCCTGCAGACATACAGACAGAATACTGTATACATAATAAATAAATATAAAAAAAAAAAACTGGTATTATTTTTCCTAATCTGTATAAAGTAGTTTTAATCTCTTCTACTTGGCTCTAGGATATAAAAATGTAATAGAATTTGGTTCTAAGAAAGTAACTGTTGGAAATCAGGCAGTAGCAGCTGTCAGTTCTAACGGGTAGGTTCACCGTCCTGTTCAGTTTTGAAAAGCATGGCCTGTTTTGTCACATCTTGTATATTTTACTTACTTCCTGTAATTCAGAATGAAAATACAGTCCTGTGGAAATCAACTAGACTTTGCAAGTTTATGTACATTAAATAAAGATTATTTTGTCAATATATTCTTTTCTTTTTTTTTTTTTACAGGTAATCCTAATAGAATTCTTACCAAAATACCCCATATTCCGACCTGACTGAGGAGTTTTGTTCGGTCACTTCTGTGTTTTCTGTCATTTCCTACCCTTAGTGCCTTGTAGATGATCTTGGAATGGAGAAGTCTCCTTTGCTGTGTTCAATTTATTCTTTATAACAGTAGAATATTCTTCTCACTCTTTTATTTGTGTTGATTTAAGAAGGCAATTTGCACATCTTTTTTGTTATTAAATGAGGCTTGTGTTTTGCACTCTCAATTTTTAAATAAATACACACAAACATATACAATCATATGTAGTTGACACTAAAAACATCAGTGCTGGTGTGTAAAGAAACAAACAAAACCCTTGTTCTGAGCATGCTGCCTTAGGATTTTCACACTCACCGTTTCTAAATACGCGTCATTTTCTAGGCTATTTAATGCTCTGTAATCCCTTACTGGACACACCCAAATACGCTTTTGGGAGCTTTTAGAAATGGTTTTACTCTGCTTTTAAAGAACATGCAATTAATAGCACTGGTTTCCTCCTGCACTTTGCTAAATTGTCACTTATGTTAGTGGATAAAATATTTAAACTCCTAAAGACTTGTAAATATTGTCTCTTTGCATAATGTAAAATGTGGTATGCCATGGTTTACAGGATTATTATTATTAATGTATTGCCAACATGTCCACGTAGATTTTGATATGAAGTTTGCAAGCATCCTTTTGAATGTAGAGACCTTTAACATGCTGTTTTGTGGCAAAGCCAACATGAGTATGTTAAATTTCAGGTGTGGGGCAAGATTGCCCTTCCTAACAAAGTGGATTAAAATTGAAACCATTAGTTCAGACCTTGTGAGTTACACCTGAGACCAAGAATCTTATTTTTTCCATTTAATTCACTGCTCTTCATTTGTCCTCCATTCCACCCCCTCAAAATAGTTGACATCTAACTCATCTTATGGCCGCGTTAGCTCTCATTTCCTTTCCCCTATGTGTCTTTTCCCTCCTTTGAAAATACATAGAATTTCCCCTTTTAAGTGTCTTGAGAGCCAATTCATCCTGGTGCAGGCCTTTAATCCCAGTACTTAGGAGGCTAAAGCAGTGGATCTCTGAGTTCAAGTCCAGCCTGATCTGCATAATGAGTTCCAGGACATCCAGGGCTACACAGAGAAACACTGTCTCAAAAAAAAAATCAAAAAAGTGTTTTGAGATTTTTAATCTTGTGAGATATCAAGGCCTCCATGAAAGCCACATTTTAGCCTGCATTTTACATTGAGAAAGAGTGCTGAGAAGCTGTAGCTATGGACTATGCAGTAGTCTAGTCAGAGCTGGGAAAATATTCTTAGCCTTCTGCTTGAGAATCCTTTCTAAACATTTTGAAATTATCAATGAGGAAAGACAAGTAAAATTTAGATAAAATTGTATTCTGTTTGTAAATTGATCATGTGTTTTGGTTGGAACATGCATCTTTCTCTCTTTTTTTTTTTTTTTTTTACAGTTAAATTGAGTGAGATTACCCCTCTGGTTCTACTACAATTTGAAATTAAAATATAACAAAAGTTTGATATCACACGAATTCAACTGCAAGGGAATGCCTGTATATGGGCATTGTTTGTACTTGCCATTACTGAATACATTCTCTTTATCCTTCTTAACTGCTTTTAAGTCAGTTCATTTTATTGAACAGAACAATCATTTCTGCATACAAGGTCAAGCCTTTTAAAGCCACTTTTAAAAGTTTTGCCTAATCTGGAATCCTTATCCTTGACCAGAGGAGGAAAGACCAGTTTGGTGTTGTTCTAATGGTTTGCACAAACACTTTTGGAGACCCATCCCCCCCCATGTCACCCAGCCACCCCAGATCTCTAAATTCTAGCATATTTATTGTGTATGCCTGCAAATATGTCTGCTTGCTGCAGGATTGAAGGTGTATTTTTATAGACAAGAAGAAAGCCTCTGAAAATGCATACCCAATGTCTTGTTTTATAGCTAAGGTCAGGGAAAATCATATCTATGTTTTATGTTGCAGCTAATGTCATCAGATTTATGCTTCATACTGTGACATTTAAATACCAAAATTGATTTCCATTCCATCATAATACAAAATCTTAATCCTTACTGGTAAGATAATTCCTTGTGAATGTCAGCCCTTGGCAATCTTACATTACGTTTTGAGCCTTAGAATTTGACCAAGTAGTGATCATAGATACTTTTTCTGCCGTGGACAAATCACACTTCATTTTGTTCAACAACACAAAAAACAAGAAGTGTAACGAATTGTTTCCATGAAACAGATATTGAAATAGGAATAGCTTGTATCTGGAGGTGACCAAGTATAATTCAAGTTACAATAGTATTTGTCATTAAAAATAACATTTTACAATATGTCAATTCGATTAGAACTACTCATGTGTTAATTGATTATTCAGTATAGTGATTGACTAATCATAGTTTCTCGAACTACACAGAAGACAATCTGGCTTTTTTCTTTTCTTTGTTTCACACTGCTTCCCCGCCAGGGGGGTGATTAGTTTGGTTGGGGATGAGATTCCTTCTTAGTGAAATGAATCAACAAATGCTAATGTGACGGAGTGCGCCTTGGTCTCTAATTCCTCCCCCACCACACTGTTTTTCCCTTAGCCTCAGGATAGAGTGTAACTTGTATTTTTCCATTGGGTTAACCAACTATTTTGTGAAAGTTATTTTTGATTGAAAAAAAACATAACTTTAATTTCTTTGATATCCCTTTATTAAAACTGCCATGGTAGTTTCCAGAGGAAAAACATTTTAAAATAGCATGTTTTTGCCAAAGCATTTCAATCTCACCAGACTTGGAGATTGCAAATTAAAAGACTTTTTTCTAAGTCACATTCTGAAAAACCTGGCGTGCTGGTTTGCACTTTTAATCCCACAATTTCAGAAGCTAAAGCAAGAGAATTGCCATGAATTGGAAGCCAGCCTGGGCTACAGAATGAGACCCTGTCTCCAAAGAAAAGAAATGAAAGAGCATGGTTTCTGTTACTTCTCATTTGGTCCAAGATTCTGGCTTAATAAATTGATTCAACTGGTCATTTTAAAGCTTGTCCATAAGGCAAGTAGCATCTATATTATTAATAAAAACATGGACAAATGTCATTAGCCGAATAACTCCATCTCAAGACATGTCCTCTATGTGTTCCCCTAATTTAGGAAAGAGATTATTGTAACTTTAGAAGTAGATGGGAAAGTGCCTTGACTTTTTCAAAGATAGCATGGTATGTGGAAGAAAGCAGAGTGAATGAATTATTAGAAATTATTCTTTTCAACTAGGCATGATAGCACAAGGTTATTGATTGCCTCTTATTTAAGCCCATTTACTTATCTTCCAAACATGAGATACATTAATGACAAAATATCATTGAATAAAACTATCAGTCACTTAAAATTACTGTAATTTTAATGCTAGTAAGCATAGAATTCAACATGGTTCTGGAAGGACAGTGGTCTTTGATTAAAGACCCTACTAAAACTCATATATTTCTTATACTAGCATGTTCTATAAACACTAATATCTCAGAATTTTAACTGTGTTCATGCCTAGCATTGCCATTTTACTGAGAGTTATTGTTGCCTTTGATAATTTGAGTAAAGCTCAATAACATTTGTAAACCTATCAAGAGTTAGGTATTTCCAAATGTCTGTGACCTTGTAAGTCATTAGCACTTTGATTTTTGTTTACAGATAAGCTGCCACTTAAAAATTAAAGCACTACTTGAACATGCAGACCCCAAACAAAATTTCATTTGAATTTACTATATGCCCTAGGCAAATATAGAATATACTTACCTGATTAATCGGAACAATTCATATAGTAGAAATATTTTTTTTTACTAAATTAACTGGAAGTGTTCAAGTTCATTGAAATTAAGTCTAAATATGCCTATAAAAATCTGCTTCTTTTTAAAAAAGAAAAGAAAAAGGTCTATTTTACAACTATCAAGTCATTCAGGATCCCTTGAGTGGTGAACTGTTGGGAGGTTTTTCATGGTGAAGAATAAGTTTATTAATACTTGTTCATGTACTTGTGAGCAAAAATAATTGAAAATATCTATAAGTATATCCTTCCATGTATGTATGTGTGAGTGTGTGTATATATGTGTGTGTATATAATCCTTACCTTGTTCCAACATTTCCTTACCTGATTCTGAGCCAGCCTTTTTAATTTGATGATGGCAACCTGAGAATATGTTCCATTTTCTGTGAATTTTGTCGAAGTCAGACTTAATGAAGAAACAATCTAATATTGTGGCCCCCAGGCAAGTGACCTAAAGTACATGTCAGTGTTTCCATCTGTAAAAGGAGAGGGTTGAACCTTGAGCTGGACAACAAAAAAAAAAAAAAAAAGAGAAATGATCTAACACACCATGGTTCTGAGAAGCCGTGGAAGATCTTGACTGTGCAGACTTGGTGGAAACTCACAGTGCCTTGCGCAGTTTGAGTTCAGTTTGCTGCCTCGCTGCTAGTCGATGTGTGTTAATAAAAGCACACTCAAAGAACCAAATCTCTGGTAGACCTATCCCCTCTGTGCTGAGAAAAATGAATAGCATTTCCCTAGGAAGCAAGGGCTGGGATCTCTGTTTGCATGTGGGATACAACTATGCAGTTGGTATCCAGGCAAGAACTGGAGCTGTGACAACAGCAGACATGGAAAAGTGTCCCCTTAAGAGTATGTGAAGAGTTGCATATCCAATTTCACATCTGCTTCAGTCTCTCACCAAGTTCCCTACCCTCAACAAAATCTATTGGAATGAATTTAGAAAATTAAGTGGAAAGGAAAATGGCCTAGAGTTCAACCCCAAGTCACTTTTGGTTTAATTTTTAGCTCGGCTGCTTAATCCCTCTGTACCTCATGTTCTCATTGTTGAAGTGGGGACGACATCTGGACCTACCTCACAGGGATATTGAAGGTCTTTTTCGTGTGCTCATATGCTTAGAAACTGACTAAAAGAAATATTGGATCGAATAATTACATAATTTCTAAGGAGATGTGGCTTTCAATCCACATTGTTGTTTTCTTTCTTGGTAACACCCTACAGAGTAAGTGTGTGCTTGATTTATTTTTTTCCATAGTCACTTTTGTTGCCAATACCCTATTTGTTAAACATGAATGATTGTACTATAGTAATACTTGATTTAGGGAGAACAGGTGGGTGTAAACCAGTGGTTCTAGCTTGGGGCAGATAAAGAGAGCAGTGGAAAGTATCCTTGAGCCTTTTTCAAGAATTAATTCGGAAAATAACACTAAAGGCCACACACTGACCTATCACATTCCTTCTCCACCAGCCGAACAAGACATGGAATCAGCATGCATTTTGCTCATGTTCTTTCCTGTTCTGTCTTTCAACATTACTTACCAACACTGATCAGAAACTGTGAGCGGAAGTGTGCTTGTATTTAATGGAAAATAGGAAGGCGTCCTTAAGTGTACTTTAATATGTACTTGAAAATGGGGAAGGAATTTAGAGATTTATATAATGAAAAAGTTGGGGGCCACTTTTCTAAAAGAATCAGGATTATTTGACCCTCTCAACATATTGCTTCCTAGTTCCTGGATGATGGAGAGAGAGAGAGAGGGGGGGGGGAGAGGCAGAGAGAGAGAGAAGGAGAGGAGAGAGAGAGATTGGGCTATAAATTCGAATTATAATTTGCCCAGTTTTGGTTTGTTTCAGGATTCTGAAACTGAACTGATTCACTGAGGCGTGTCCATGTACACACAGAGGATTCAAATGTGCAGTGTTCTGGTGTCATGTTGGTCTAAATGATAATTTCTCAGCCTCTTAAAAGTTTGTGTGATGTCTGTGTGATAAGCAAGGCAATAAGTTCTCTAATGTTCCTTTTACTCCTGCTTATTTGATTTGCTTTTATCTTGGCATAATTTTCCTGCTTTTCTGTTTTATTGTAAGCAAATAGTTGGAAACTGTTTTAATGCCTGGACTTTGGAACAAGTTTCAAATGTTTGAAATTATATAATCTACAAGCTAGTTTGCCATCCTTGGACTAACCACATACAAGTGTGAATCTCTACTGCAAGAACAGGACATCCAGATAGCTACAGAGCTGTCATTGTTCAAAAAAAAAATCTGGTTGAAATATAAGTGACTTCTACATTTTGGCAGAGGATTCCTGTTTGGACAGCTTTACCAGAAGAAAATAACAGTGGATATGTCCTTCAAACCACGAACTTTCATGCATCTTGTAGTGTTATGTAGCCTGTGGAATGAATTCCTCTTCCCCCTGGAGTCAAGGATTGACTCCCCTGAAAGAACTCAACCTATATTCAGCTGTGCCAAAATGAAGGATACCTGCCTCTGAAACTTTCACTGCTGCTTCTGTCGTTGTTCATTGTCAGATAAAATTTTATTCTCAGGATGCAAAATTCCAATAAAGTACAAATCTATGTTAATTAATTGAACCCTGTGGCTTTGGTGTGCACCTTCTTTCTTTCCTGCTTTATGTTTTCATTACTTGGGCGTGGGTACAAGAACTCAGCTGGTAGGCCGGGCGGTGGTGGCGCACGCCTTTAATCCCAGCACTCGGGAGGCAGAGGCAGGCGGATCTCTATGAGTTCGAGACCAGCCTGGTCTACAAGAGCTAGTTCCGGGACAGGCTCCAAAACCACAGAGAAACCCTGTCTCGAAAAACCACAAAAAAAAAAAAAAAAAGAACTCAGCAGGTACAGAGGCACTTGTTGCCAAGCCTGGTGACCTGAGTTCAATTCCTGGGAGCTACTTGGTGAAAGGAGAGAACTAACTCCTACAAGATTTCCTCTGACCTCTTCACATGCCCCCCCCCCAGAGAAAGAATATAAATAAATGAATAAAAATTAATACCTAAATGTAATTAAAAGAACTTTTCCCACTTTTCTTTTTTAATAGAAAAGGGTTTATTTGGCTTACTTCCAGGTCACATTTAATCATGTTGTATAATAAAGTTAATTTATATTAATTTATATTAACGTTACATAAGTTTAGACCTTATGAAGCTATAAGCATAGTTAAGGTCAAACATGTTCACTTTAGAAAGTTCCTTCCAGGGGCTGGAGAGATGGCTCAGTGGTTAAGAGCATTGCCTGCTCTTCCAAAGGTCCTGAATTTAATTCCCAGCAACCACGTGGTGGCTCACAACCATCTGTAAAGAGGTCTGGCGCCCTCTTCTGGCCTTCAGGCATACAGACAGAATATTGTATACATAATAAATAAATAAATATTTTTAAAAAAAAAAAGAAAGTTCCTTCCACAGGGTGGTTGGTAGTGCACATTTTAGTCCCAGCACTCAGGAGGCAAAGGCAGGCGGGTCTCTGAGTTCAGGGCCAGCCCTATAGAGGGAATTGCAGAACTGCACAGAAACCCTGCCTTGGAAAACTGAAAAAAAAAAAAAAAAAAAAACAAAGAAAGTTCCTTCCGACCCCATTGGTAGCAATCTAACACCTAAATTCAACAAATCAGACATGGTGTCTCAGACCTCTAATCCCAGCACTTGGGAGCCGGAAGCAGGAAGGTTATGATAAACTCAAAGCCAGCATGATCTACATAGTAAATTCCACACTAGCAGGTTCCAGACCAACTGGGGTTAGTAATGAAACTAATAATATTAAATAAATCTTTGAAAAGATCATTACTTGAAGCTTCCTTTAAATGACAGTATTTTGCATATTGCAAAATCCCATTGGTTAGAATTGTGTCTGATTCTGTAAGTAATTTATGAGTAATTTATGCCATTTATTGAATTTGGGAGCCTTCGTTGTACCCAGTGTTTGCATGTGGCTAAGTAAAAAGTTGTTTGTTTTTTTAAAAAATATTTATTTATTTATTATGCATACAATATTCTGTCCAGACCTCATTACAGATGGTTGTCAGCCACCATGTGGTTGCTAGGAATTGAACCCAGGACCTTTAGAAGAGCAGGCAATGCTCTTAACCGCTGAGCCATCTCTCCAGCCCCTAAAAGTTGTTTTTAAATGACCTTACTAAATATAAGTGTTTACTCAAGGAGTGCGGAAATGTGAAGCTACTTAGCCAGTTTTGACTCGTCACAGGTTCCTAGCATCTCCTACGTGAGTTGTACTCATCTGCAAAACATCCAGTTGTACAAGTATACCTTTTGCAAATTTCATCAAATATAGTAAAGCAAGGGTTAGAGAGATGGCTCAGCAGTTAAGAGCACTTACTACTCCTGCAAATGGTCTGGGTTCGATTTCCAGCACCCACATGGTGAGTCAGTGTCTTCAGTTCTAAGGAAATCTGACACATCGTCTGACCCCTCCCCATGGGCTCCTGTATGCATATGATGTGCATACACATACTCAGGTACACACACATTCACATAAAAATATCTTTTTAAATATCAAGGGGGAGCTAGAGGGATGGCCCAGCAGATTAGACCACCTGCTGCCCTTGCAAAGGATCTGAGTTTCCTAGCACTCACATGGCAGCTGTAACTCCAGTTCCAGGAGATCCAGCCTCTATTGACTCCCACACACACGGATTCTCAAAAGCACAAACGAGCACACACACCACATAAAAATTAATAGCAGGTCTAGCTCTGTCAATGGCAGTCATTAACAATGATTGCTGTCATATGAAAATAGCAAGTTGAAAAGCCAAGAAGTGGTGGCACAGGCCTTAATCCCAGCACTGGGGGACAGGTGGATCTCTGAGCTTGAGGCCACCCTGGTCTACAGAGTTCCGTAACAGAGAAACTCTGTCTAAAAAAGAGAAAGAAAGAAAGAAGAAAGGAAGAAAAGAAAGAAAAGAAAAGAATGCATGCAATGTACTATAACACAATAGAAGCAAATGCATTCAAAAAGCCTGGAAGAATTATTTGCCATGAATGAATCCCAATGGCTTATCTCCATCTCACAGTAAGAACCCTAAAATAATGGAGCCCTAACAGCTAAAACTTGCCCAGGAACCCCATGCTGGTAGAGGAAAAGGTGAAAGACCTAGCACAAAAGAGAAACTTGCTTTGCAGGAAGAGATTTTCCACAGTTCAAACAGCTTAACTCGTGGTCAGATTAATATGCATATCTGCTGGCTTCTGTTTCTCTATCAAAGTTTAACACTGTTGTTAGGTAGATAGACCGGGATTGGTAGCCTTGCGGCTATGAGGATGGGCCTTTCTGGATTGATCTGTTTTTTCACCTGAACTCCAATTCCCTGCCCCCTTACAATTTACAATTACTATTCTTAGGTCTTCAGTTTCCTTTCAAGAAGGTGGAGATTCCAGGGCTCTGTAAAGGCCCTTTATGGGAAAGCTAAACTTCCTCCAGGTGGAAAGGATGGAATCTGAGCTCCGACTCTGCCTCTAGGTGGAGACTGACTTTCTGGTCTGCTCCCAAGATTAGAAAATGGCATACTATTGTCTTCATCCTTAGGAGTTAACCTAAAGCTGGAGGGATTGCTCAGTGTTTAAGAGGGCTTACTGCTTTTACAAAGAACAAGACCTCGCCCACAGCAAGCGGCTTGCAACTATCAGTAAGTCTAGCTCCAGGGATCTGATGCTCTCTGGCCTCCATAGGCACCGAAAGTATGTGGTGCTCATGAATTCACACAGGCACTCACATACACATGAAACAATAATCCTTTTTAATATAGTTAATCCACTTGCACTTGGAGACCATTTCACAACTGCTTGTCAACCTTCATTCCTGAACATGCCCTCTTGCTTGGACCCTAACTCAAAACCCAGGGCTTCCTCTTCATCCCAGCAGCTGTCGAGATTTACAGCTTGCATGCTCTGTAATTTTGTTTTGTTTTATTTTTCAAGACAGGGTTTCTCTGTGACTTTGGAGCCTGTCCTGGAACTCTCTCTACAGACCAGGCTGGCCTCGAACTCACAGAGATCCATCTGTCTCTGCCTCCCGAGTGCTGGGATTAGAGGTGTGCACCACCACCACCCGGCATGTACTCTAATTTAAAGATACAGAACTCATTCTTGAGAAGGAAAGTGAGCTTCCTAATTGCTTGCTTTGTTTAAAACTGACTTCATCTTCTTTGTGCGCTGAAGAGGTCCATTCTTTATCCTTCCCACTTTCTGGGTGTGAAGCTCTGACAGTCACAAAGCAGTCACATCCCAGACTGTCCTTAGAATAGTATTTAGAGCGTTTGAGCTGGGCTGAAATTTTGAGCTCACATTGGATAACCAGGGAGGCCAAAAGAGGTCAATCAAATTACCCAATGCTAAAACAAATTCAATTACCACTAATCTTTTTTTTCTTGCTTTTTCGAGATAGGGCGGGTTTCTCTGTGTACCAGCCCTGACTGCCCTGGACTCGCTTTGTAGTCCAGGCTGGCCTAGACCTCACAGAGATCCACCAGCCTCTGCCTCCTGAGTGCTGGGATTAATGGCATGTGCCACCACTGGCCATCCTTGTTTTATTTTTCAAAACAGGGTTTCTCTGTGCAACAGCCCTGGCTGTCCTGGAACTCACTATGTAGACCAGGCTGGCCTCAAACTCACAACCTCTGCCTCCCAAATTCTGGGATTAAAGACATGTGCTACCACAGCCGGCTCAACCACTAATCTTTTTAAATGAAATGTTTTCATCAATTACTTGAGAATTTCATATAGTGTTCTTTGATCATACAACCGCCTACTCCTCTCCCAGCTCCTTCCAGACCCACCTCCCTTCCCAACTGTGAGTCCTCCTCGTAGTAAATAATAAACAAACAAACCACAGTTCAATTTGTGCTGCCAAATACTCCTGGGTGTGGGCCTATCCACTGGACCTACCAGCAGCCACACTCTTCATTTTTTTATCCCAAGAACACTTTAATTTTAATTGAAGTATAATACCTTTACCAAAGTAGCATGGACCATGAATACATAGCTCACTGTCTTCTAGTCGCTAATCTGTCCCTGAAGCTTCATGTGTGGAATCTCCTTTTTTTTTGGTCTTTAAAACTGCTTTTCCCGCTCCCAATGTCCCAATGAGGAGCAGAAGGAGAGAGAACATGAGCAAAGAAGTCAGGACCACAAGGGGTGCACCCACCCACGGAGACAGTGGGGCTGATGTATTGGGAGCTCACCAAGGCCAGCTGGACTGGGACTGAAAAAGCATGGGATAAAACCGGACTCTTTGGGGCTGGAGAGATGGCTCAGAGGTTAAGGGCACTGACTGCTCTTCCTAAGGTCCTGAGTTCAATTCCCAGCAACTACATGGTGGCTCACAACCATCTGTAATGAGATCTGGTGCCCTCTCTGGCAAGTAAGCATATATGAAGACAGAACACTGTATACATAATAAATAAAAATATTTTTAAAAAAAACGGACTCTCTGAATATGGCGGACAATGTGGGCTGCTGAGAAGCCAAGGATAATGGCACTGGGTTTTGATCCTATTTCATGTTCTGGCTTTGTGGGAGCCTAGCCAGTTTGGATGTTCACCTTCCTAGACCAGGATTGAGGGGGGA